TGAAAATTTTCTATGTGATTGCCAAAATGTTTTGGGTGGTTGCTAGGGCATTGTGTGGTTGCTAGGTTTTTTTTTTTTTTTTTTTTGCTGTTTGAACTACAAAGAACTTTACAGATTGTGCTGCCTGTCTGAACAAGGCCTATATGATAACGTGAGACAAAAGCATTCTTTAGAATTCTGGGAGAAACATCTGAAACAAAGTTGATACTTCAGTGAAACATTTGAAACGGAGTTGAGGAGAGTCATGTTCACCTCGAAGTTCATCACAGCCAGCTGAGACAGACCGTCCACATACGGACCCAGGACTTTATGCTCTCTGACCTTCAGAGACTGTCTGCTCCTGTACAGACGGAGGAGAGAGAAGACGTGTGAGAAAACTCTCATTAGGATGTTATTCATGTTCCCTGGATTCACAATCGTCCTCTTGTTCGGGCCTCGAGCAGAGTATTTGATTTGACTCAGCACCATCAGACACAAACCCAAATTCATAAAATGAAAATAAGAAAGAAAAAATCTATTTACTAATTTAATGATACCTATTAATATGCTAAGTAAATACAGCACAAAAACAAAGTAATGATTAAACAAAGTCAAACATTTAAAAAATGTTTAAATAAAAATTAGAATTGAAAATGCATAAAATGTAACTTTAAAAAAACTAAATACCAAAATTAAAGCTATAAAAATAGGGCAAGAATAATTTACTAATTAAAAACGATTACTAATTTTTTTTTAATTATACTGTAGTACAAAAGCAGAAAATGATGAAAAAATGTAAACATTTATTGATTCAAAAAAGCACGAACAAAATATAGAATTAAGATGTAAAGTCTAAAATTGTAACAACAAAAAAAACCTTTAAAAAATGTTTTAAACTAAATAACAAAATAAACACTTGAAAGCCATAAAATAGGACGTGAAATAATTTACTAATTCAATTGTAACTATAAATAAAAATAAATAAGAGACAACATTAAAAATTTTAATATTGATGTAAAAAGATAAAAAATGTAATGATATAAAAAAGACAAAAATAGAACTGAAATTGCAAGACATAAACTGAGAATTGTTACTTTTTTCTCAGAATTCTGAGGTTACATCTTACAATGTGGGACCCATCACTCTTCGTCTGGGCCTCCTTCACTCGGAGGACATTCATCTTCTGGTTCTGGAGGGGTCTACTGCGGACATCATCTTAGGGCGCCCGTGGTTGGTAAAGCACAATCCCATTCTATCCTGGAAGACGGAAGAAGTCCTGAAGTGGGGCAAGGACTGCTTCCCAGACTGCTTCCCCGGGACTCCCTCTCCTCCAAACAAACTCCCCGAGGCCCTTTCCGTGAATTCCACCTCCATTGAGAAGCAATCCTTGGAAATTCCAGCCTGCTATGCCCTCTTCAGAGACGTGTTTTGTCCCAACCGAGCCTCCCACTTACCACCACATTGGCCATGGGACTGCGCCATCGATCTCATTCCGGGTGAGCCAGTGCCTCGTGGAAAGATCTATTCCCTATCGCTTCCTGAGCAGAAGGCCATGGAGGAATACATCAAGGAGGCACTGGGTCAAGGTTACATCCGTCTATCTAACTCCCCTGCTGCATCAAGCTTCTTCTTCGTAGCCAAGAAGGACGGAGGCTTGAGGCCCTGTATCGATTACCGAGCATTGAACAATATCACAGTCAAGTTCCGATATCCTCTTCCCCTTGTCCCAAGTGCCCTTGAGCATCTCCGTGGGGCCACCATCTTCACTAAGTTGGACCTCCGCCGTGCTTATAACCTCATCCGAATACGTGAGGGGGATGAACGGAAGACTGCCTTTGTGACCCCTACTGGCCACTACGAGTATCTGGTCATGCCCTATGGACTTGCCAACGCCCCCTCCGTATTCCAGGACTTCATGCACGAGGTGCTCCG